TCATCCAAAATGTTCATAATTATCCTAAGTTGTTTGGTATTCAAAATGAGCAAAATCGGTTCACATCGGTAAAAGTTTTGAATCAAAATTTAAATTTAATTTAATATCCTTACAACTTTAAAGTCCTTTAAAAAGGAGAAAAGGTCACAAAATGAAAAAGTGAAAACGTAGTTTCGAAAACGTAGACGCGACCTCGTCGTGTTCAGGTCCAACGAGGTCGCACGGTGTTATATTTAAAGAACAATTTATCTAGTTTATTTTTGAGCGATATATGTATGTATTTATGTATATCAATATTCCTAATAATTTGTAATTATGTACATTGTTTGTATTTAAAAAATATATATGTGTATTAATACTGCAAACTTTCCATACTGGGCTTTAAGGTGCTGGGACTGCTTCAGTTATCATAATATGTATGTTTAAGCATATTATAAATTTTTCGCCGTCCAATAAAAATAACAAATATACACACTCCCTGAAAAGTAAAATGGTATTTGATAATAATGCTATATAATATTTAATATAATATAAACATTTTACTAACCTGTAGTGACTTAATGCAATCAATAATAGCAGAGGTGATCTTCAGATTAGAAATATAAAAAACATCCGATAAATTTTCTAAAAGCCAGCATAAAACCATCATATAGAATAGAAACAAATAGGGATTGTAACTGAAAGTGAAAAATTTTCAGAAAATATATGTATAAGAAGGAATTATTGAATTTTTAGTTTTAACTATTGACTGGTTCTATAGTCAAGATTACAGACTATAGTTAAAACTTTAGACCAGTCCATAGTCAAGATTATAGTCTAGTCTATATACAAGACTATAGATCAGTCTGTATAAAAGAGTCTATAGACAAGACTATAGATAAATCTGTAGTTAAGACTATAGATAAGTCTATAGTCAAGACTTTAGATAAGTCTATAGTCAAGACTATAGATAAGTCTATAGTCAAGACTATAGATAAGTCTATAGTCAAGACTATAGATAAGTCTATAGTCAAGACTATAGATAAGTCTATAGTCAAGACTATAGATCAATCTGTAGCCAAGACTATAGATAATTCTGTAGTCAAGACTATAGATAAGTTTATAGTCAAGACTTTAGATAAGTCTATAGTCTAGACCATAGATAAGACAATAAACAAGACTATAGATAAGTCTATTGATAAGTCTAAAGTCAAGACTATAGATAAGTCTATAGTGAAGACTATAGATAAGTCTATTGTTAAGACTATAGATAAGTCTATAGTCAAGACTATAGATAAGTCTATAGTCAAGACAATGGATAAGTTTATAGTCAAGACTTTAGATAAGTCTATAGTCAAGACTATATATAAGTCTATAGTCAAGACAATGGATAGTTCATAGTCAAGACTTTAGATAAGTCAAGACTATAGATAAGTCTACAGTCAAGACTATAGACCAGTCAATAGTCAAGACTATAGACCAGTCCAGACCAGTCTATAGTCAAGACTATAGACCAGTCTATAGCCAAGACTATAGACCAGTCTATAGTCAAGACCATAGACCAGTCTATAGTCAAGACCATAGACCAGTCTATAGTCAAGACTATAGACCAGCCTATAGTCAAGACTATAGACCACCCTATAGTCAGGACTATAGACCGGCCTATAGTCAAGACTATAGACCACCCTATAGTCAAGACCATAGACCAGCCTATAGCCAAGACTATAGACCAGCCTATAGTCAGGTTTATAGACCAGCCTATAGTCAAGAATATAGACCAGCCTATAGTCAGGTCTATAGACCAGCATATAGTCAAGACTATAGACCAGCTTATAGTCAAGACTATATACCAGTCTATAGTCAAGACTATATACCAGTCTATAGTCAAGACTGTAGACCAGTCTATAGTCAAGACTATAGACCAGTCTATAGTCAAGACTGTAGACCAGTCTATAGTCAAGACTATAGACCAGTCTATAGTCAAGACTATAGAGCAGTCTATAGTCAAGACTATATACCAGTCTATAGTCAAGACTGTAGACCAGTCTATAGTCAAGACTATAGACCAGTCTATAGTCAAGACTATAGACCAGCCTATGGTCAAGACTATAGTCCAGTCTATAGTCAGGTCTATAGACCAGCCTATAGTCAGGTCTATAGACCAGCCTATAGTCAGGTCTATAGACCAGCCTATAGTCAGGTCTATAGACCAGCCTATAGTCAGGTCTATAGACCAGCATATAGTCCGCCTATAGACCAGCCTATAGTCAAGACTATGGACCAGTCTATAATCAAGACTATAGACCAGTCTATAGTCAAGACTATAGACCAGTCTATAGTCAAGACTATAGACCAGTCTATAGTCAAGACTATAGACCAGTCTATAGTCAAGACTATAGACCAGCCTATAGTCAAGACTCTGGACCAGTCTATAGTCAAGACTATAGATCAGCCTATAGTCAAGACTATAGACCAGTCTATAGTCAGGACTGTAGACCAGCCTGTAGTCAAGACTATAGACCAGCCTGTAGTCAAGACTATGGACCAGCTTATGGTTGTCAAGTGAAGACTATAGGTAAGTCTATAGTCAAGACTATAGATAAGTCTATATTCAAGACTATAAATAAGTCTATAGTCAAGACAATGGATAAGTTTAGACCAGCCTATAGTCAATACGATAGACCAGCCTATAGTCAGGACTATAGACCAGCCTATAATCAAGACTATAGACCACCCTATATAGACCAGACTATAGACCAGTCTATAGTCAAGACTATAGTCAGGACTATAGACCAGCCTATATTCAAGACTATAGACCAGTCCATAGGCAAGACTATGGACCAGTGTATAGTCAAGACAATATAGCAGTTTATAGTCAAGACTATAGACCAGTCTATAGTCAAGACTATAGACGATAGACGATAGACCACCCTATAGTCAGGACTACAGACCAGCCTATAGTCAAGACTATAGACCACCCTATATTCAAGACTATAGACCAGCCTATAATCAAGACTATAGACCAGCCTATAGTTAGGTCTATAGACCAGCCTATAGTCAAGACTATAGACCAGTCTATAGTCAAGACTATAGACCTATAGCCTATAGTCAGGACTATAGACCAGTCTATAGTCAAATCTATAGACCAGCCTATAGTCAAGACTATAGACCAGTCTATAGTCAAGACTATAGACCAGTCTATAGTCAAGACCATAGACCAGTCTATAGTCAAGGCTATAGACCAGTCTATAGTCAAGACTATAGACCAGTCTATAGTCAAGACTATAGACCAACTTATAGTCAAGACTATATACCAATCTGTAGTTAAGTCTATAAGCCAGTCTAGCCATTGCATAGATTTTGTTTCAAAACTTACGAACTTTCGGGAGAATCTTTCAAACTGAGTTTTTCATATATTTCATTATATTTCATTTTTAACAACCTTAAGGTTGATATAATGAATATTAAACAAAAAATTATGATAATAAGACAGGGACCATAAAGGTATACGATATCAGACCATGTGTGAGCTGAACAAAAGAAGAAGAAAAAATTCAAATTTAGAAAATTTTATTTAAAATTGTGTTTTAATCATTTACCATACAGATTACATCTGTCATTTGTAATAACTTCATATATATCTGTATTTTGTAATACAAATCCCAGGATTACAACGAGTAAAGGTAACGTATAGCCACAACTGGCATATTTGATATAAGAAGATTTATATTCCAAATTATTTAAATTCCTCCAGATATCATAGCAGAGTATAGCCATCCAAGTATAATGGAACAGTTGCAAATAATAATTGAAATAAGCTGGACAGAGGAAGAAAAATTATGAAATTTGAACTAAATTTAGTTAAAATTCTGCTCACCAATTAGTAAACAGGGACCAACACTAATCCTTATTTTTGAGAGATTTATAAAGCTATAAATAGCTAAAAATAATGCTAAACTACCAGCATAGGTCATAAAACATTTACCATGCAAAGTACTACGCAGCTCGGGTATATAGCAATAAACGAACAAAGTTACAAGTAAAAATATTAATGAAAAAACTTGAGCTGAAATGAAGTGAAAATAATTAGTGGCCCTATTTAGGCACCGATCCATGCAAAATTGCGACTTACTCCAGTAATATAACTTTTCCAGTGAATCCCTAACATCCTTGGTTTGACAGAACCTGGGAATGATCAAATTATATGTGTCTTCTCCAAAGACCTTTTTATGAAAATCGAAACAATACTCAGTTCTATTTAAGGTCTTATGATTACTGTGGACTAATAAAGAGCCATTCTAAAATTATAAATAATTATACAAAATGTAAAAAAAAAATTCACTACAAAACGTTACCTCGAACAAAGTCCAACCAGCTCCATCCACTTCTTTTATGATATTGTGAGGGGCTTCACAAAAGTCTTCCTTTACAAATGGTTCAAAATCTTCAGCAATATTTTGCTTTACGACCGTTCGATTTCTAAGAGTCACTTCTATAGAAAAGTTATTTTTATCTGTTCTCATAACTTGCGCATTTTTCATAAAAATGTTATAAATTTCCGGAATAGTATTGGAACAGAAACTGATGCATGGCATTAGGTGACAAATGCAGGCCCGTTTATATTGTGGCACAGTACGTTTACTGCCATCATATAAAATTATATAATCATAATTTCCTATAAGATTGGGTGGTATAACTGTTTGATTCTTGTATATATAGGAGCCATTTGCTAACAATGAATTGTCAGGAATTTCAATAGTATCTTCGTAGGAACAATTAACGATTCCTAAAGAGTATTTTTCCTTCTCAATTTTTAACTGTTGCTCTCGATGAGTTATGTTTTTATTATCTGAAACATTAGACCCCATTGATTGCGTATATACACTTAGTAATAAAAGTAGTTTTATTATTAGAATGTGATTTAAATGCATTCTCTTTAATTATATAGAAAATAAATTATGATCGATTTTACTATTAAAGTTATTTAAATATTTCTAGATGTAAACGCGACAACTGTTGAAAATAAACTGTGCAATTGATGAAAGCTTCAATATTTTTATACCAATAAATGTCATGTCTTAAAACCACAATAACAAAGAACTTAAAAAGAATTACATGACTAAGTGACAAAAAGTGCATTGATTCAGAAATAAGTAAATTAGATATTGAAAAATCAGTTCTAGATCTGTTATAGTTCAATAATAGTTCAGTTCTAGTATAATTCTAGTTCAGTTCTAGTTCAGTTCTAGTTCAGTTCTAGTTCAGTTCTAGTTCAGTTCTAGTTCATTTCTAGTTCAGTTCTAGTTAGTTCAGTTCTAGTTCAGTTCTAGTTCAGTTCTAGTTCAGTTCTAGTTCAGTTCTAGTTCAGTTCTAGTTCAGTTCTAGTTCAGTTCTAGTTCAGTTCTAGTTCAGTTCTAGTTCAGTTCTAGTTCAGTTCTAGTTCATTCTAGTTCAGTTCTAGTTCAGTTCTAGTTCAGTTCTAGTTCAGTTCTAGTTCAGTTCTAGTTCAGTTCTAGTTCAGTTCTAGTTCAGTTCTAGTTCAGTTCTAGTTCAGTTCTAGTTCAGTTCTAGTTCAGTTCTAGTTCAGTTCTAGTTCTTTCTAGTTCAGTTCTAGTTCAGTTCTAGTTCAGTTCTAGTTCAGTTCTAGTTCAGTTCTAGTTCTAGTTCAGTTCTAGTTCTAGGTTTAGTTCAGTTCTAGTTCAGTTCTAGTTCAGTTCTAGTTCAGTTCTAGTTCAGTTCTAGTTCAGTTCTAGTTCAGTTCTAGTTCAGTTCTAGTTCAGTTCTAGTTCAGTTCTAGTTCAGTTCTAGTTCAGTTCTAGTTCAGTTCTAGTTCAGTTCTAGTTCAGTTCTAGTTCAGTTCTAGTTCAGTTCTGTTAGTTCAGTTCTAGTTCAGTTCTAGTTCAGTTCTAGTTCAGTTCTAGTTCAGTTCTAGTTCAGTTCTAGTTCAGTTCTAGTTCAGTTCTAGTTCAGTTCTAGTTCAGTTCTAGTTCAGTTCTAGTTCAGTTCTAGTTCAGTTCTAGCGTTCTAGTTCAGTTCTAGTTCAGTTCTAGTTCAGTTCTAGTTCAGTTCTAGTTCAGTTCTAGTTCAGTTCTAGTTCAGTTCTAGTTCAGTTCTAGTTCAGTTCTAGTTCAGTTCTAGTTCAGTTCTAGTTCAGTTCTAGTTCAGTTCTAGTTCAGTTCTAGTTCAGTCTAGTTCAGTTCTAGTTCAGTTCTAGTTCAGTTCTAGTTCAGTTCTAGTTCAGTTCTAGTTCAGTTCTAGTTCAGTTCTAGTTCAGTTCTAGTTCAGTTCTAGTTCAGTTCTAGTTCAGTCTAGTTCAGTTCTAGTTCAGTTCTAGTTCAGTTCTAGTTCAGTTCTAGTTCAGTTCTAGTTCAGTTCTAGTTCAGTTCTAGTTCAGTTCTAGTTCAGTTCTAGTTCAGTTCTAGTTCAGTTCTAGTTCAGTTCTAGTTCAGTTCTAGTTCAGTTCTAGTTCAGTTCTAGTTCAGTTCTAGTTCAGTTCTATCAAAACAATGCATTGTTCTGATAGAAGTCTGTTAAACTTGCAAGTGAGGACCCAATTGCTCTATGAGTGGGTGTTTTGTTTATATCAGAATATGCAGAATTTCTTATTATTTTAGAATTCTGAATAATTTGTTGCTGTTTTACTGCGTTTGTTTTCATATTCACTCATTAAATAATTAAAATTATAAAACATTGAAAATACATGTTTAAATGAGCTGTTTGTTGTAAATCCCGCAAGATTTAAACTTGAATTGAACTGAAAAAATAATCTTATTTAAAGCCACAAATATTCTGAAATTTTCCAAAAGTTGGACATGAGAGTCACTTAAAATATCAAAAGAATTTTATAATATATTTTTAAAACCTCCACCAACATCAATGGTGATATATGGTATATATTCGTGTGCAACATTTAGAAATATATATCGGAGATCCAACAAAGATATATTCTGGGTTCTTATGAAGTTCTCAATTGTTTTAGCTACGTCCGTCTATCCGTCTGACTAATTGTTTAAAACAGCTTAGTAATAAAAGTTGAAGAAATTCATACAAAACATTTATTATAATAATATATTTGCCCATTATAAAAATTATAATTTAAAATGTTTTTTTTATAAATATACATATGTATGTACACAAATTTTAATACATATTCTAAATAAAAATGAAATTAAATTTAATAATATTTTGTTAGTATTTTAGGAACAAACTTTTTGTGTTTCACATTCAATAAAAGAACAGGTAAAAATCTAGATTTTTTCTCATTTTTTAAACCTCTTTTGATATCTAAAAATATTTGGAATTAATTTGAAATACTATTTATTTAAAAAAATACAGGAATACTTACATATCTACGACGAATTATATTCCAAATACGTTTTCGTACAATGAAATTAATAAATATATACATTCCCTGAAAGTATTTGTATAAAAAAGTTAATGTATTTAAAAATCTATGTATATACCTATGTATGTGTTTCAAACTATCCGAATAACAATTATCTAATTACCTGTAAAGAATTAACATAATCAACTAGTGAAGAGAGAGTTTTACAATGTAACATCTGAAGTACATATGACAGAATATCTAAATTCCATGATATACCCATCATCATAAATAAACGCAAGAAGAGTGTGTAACTGAAAAGAGAAGAATTTTTTCAAAATTATACAATTTTTCCTCAAATCTTCACATAGAAGTCAAAGTAGTCAGAGCAAAATTTGAGCATCATATATCTATCTAATGGTTTCACAGATATACGATACATTCGAGGATAATAACTAGTTCATTTCTAGTTCATTTCTAGTTCAAGTTCTAGTTCAGTTCTAGTTCATCAGTTCTAGTTCAGTTCTAGTTCAGTTCTAGTTCAGTTCTAGTTCAGTTCCAGTTCAGTTCTAGTTCAGTTCTAGTTAGGTCTAGTTCAGTTCTAGTTCAGTTCTAGTTCAGTTCTAGTTCAGTTCTAGTTCAGTTCTAGTTCAGTTCTAGTTCAGTTCTAGTTCAGTTTCTAGTTCAGTTCTAGTTCAGTTCTAGTTCAGTTCTAGTTCAGTTCTAGTTCAGTTCTAGTTCAGTTCTAGTTCAGTTCTAGTTCAGTTCTAGTTCAGTTCTAGTTCAGTTCTAGTTCAGTTCTAGTCAGTTCTAGTTCAGTTCTAGTTCAGTTCTAGTTCATGTCTAGTTCAGTTCTAGTTCCGTTCTAGTTCAGTTCTAGTTCAGTTCTAGTTCAGTTCTAGTTCAGTTCTAGTTCAGTTCTAGTTCAGTTCTAGTTCAGTTCTAGTTCAGTTCTAGTTCAGTTCTAGTTCAGTTCTAGTTCAGTTCTAGTTCAGTTCTAGTTCAGTTCTAGTTCAGTTTCTAGTTCAGTTCTAGTTCAGTTCTAGTTCAGTTCTAGTTCAGTAGTTCAGTTCTAGTTGCAGTTCTAGTTCAGTTCTAGTTCAGTTCTAGTTCAGTTCTAGTTCAGTTCTAGTTCAGTTCTAGTTCAGTTCTAGTTCAGTTCTAGTTCAGTTCTAGTTTCAGTTCTAGTTCAGTTCTAGTTCAGTTCTAGTTCAGTTCTAGTTCAGTTCTAGTTCAGTTCTAGTTCAGTTCTAGTTCAGTTCTAGTTCAGTTCTAGTTCAGTTCTAGTTCAGTTCTAGTTCAGTTCTAGTTCAGTTCTAGTTCAGTTCTAGTTCAGTTCTAGTTCAGTTCTAGTTCAGTTCTAGTTCAGTTCTAGTTCAGTTCTAGTTCAGTTCTAGTTCAGTTCTAGTTCAGTTCTAGTTCAGTTCTAGTTCAGTTCTAGTTCAGTTCTAGTTCAGTTCTAGTTGCAGTTTTAGTTCAGTTCTAGTTCAGTTCTAGTTCAGTTCTAGTCAGTTCTATCAAAACAATGCATTGTTCTGATAGAAGTCTGTTAAACATGCAAGTGAGGACCCAATTGCTCTATGAGTGGGTGTTTTGTTTATATCAGAATATGCAGAATTTCTTATTATTTTAGAATTCTGAATAATTTGTTGCTGTTTTATGCGTTTGTTTCATATTCACTCATTAAAATAATTAAAATTATAAAACATATGAAAATACATGTTTAAATGAGCTGTTTGTTGTAAATCCCGCAAGATTTAAACTTGAATTGAACTGAAAAAATAATCTTATTAAAGCCACAAATATTCTGAAATTTTCCAAAAGTTGGACATGAGAGTCACTTAAAATATCAAAAGAATTTTATAATATATTTTAAAACCTCCACCAACATCAATGGTGATATATGGTATATATTCGTGTGCAACATTTAGAAATATATATCGGAGATCCAACAAAGATATATTCTGGGTTCTTATGAAGTTCTCAATTGTTTTAGCTACGTCCGTCTATCCGTCTGACTAATTGTTTAAAACAGCTTAGTAATAAAAGTTGAAGAAATTCATACAAAACATTTATTATAATAATATATTTGCCCATTATAAAAATTATAATTTAAAATGTTTTTTTTATAAATATACATATGTATGTACACAAATTTTAATACATATTCTAAATAAAAATGAAATTAAATTTAATAATATTTTGTTAGTATTTTAGGAACAAACTTTTTGTGTTTCACATTCAATAAAAGAACAGGTAAAAATCTAGATTTTTTCTCATTTTTTAAACCTCTTTTGATATCTAAAAATATTTGGAATTAATTTGAAATACTATTTATTTAAAAAAATACAGGAATACTTACATATCTACGACGAATTATATTCCAAATACGTTTTCGTACAATGAAATTAATAAATATATACATTCCTGAAAGTATTTGTATAAAAAGTTAATGTATTTAAAAATCTATGTATATACCTATGTATGTGTTTCAAACTATCCGAATAACAATTATCTAATTACCTGTAAAGAATTAACATAATCAACTAGTGAAGAGAGAGTTTTACAATGTAACATCTGAAGTACATATGACAGAATATCTAAATTCCATGATATACCCATCATCATAAATAAACGCAAGAAGAGGTGTGTAACTGAAAAGAGAAGAATTTTTTCAAATTATACCATTTTTCCTCA